GAAATAGAGCTGAAGCCACCAGGCAGAAGTGATATCTCATCGCCATGCTTCCCAGTTTTTCGGCACCTAATCATTTTTGGAAGTCCAGAAGATAAGCCTTATCCGTGAGCAAGTTTTTTTACACGTGTAGGTTAACCCAAACTATCGTAAACTTTTAGTGGGGCATGGAGGTACAGCGATGTGGTAAAGATGGGCACAGAGGAAGATCGGTTAAAATTGGCAAAAACCGAGCGCGAAATCCAACCTGATGATCCAATTAATATTCAATACACAAGTGTAGGTTTTTACGGTGCAAGACGAACTATTATTTGATATTAGTGAACTCCCTTCAGGGTACTACCGGTCAGCCAAAAGGTGCCACTCTAACCCACCATAACGTCCTGAATAATGCATATTTTGTTGGGATTCGTGCCGGGTATCATGAACAGGTAGATGATGTCCTTCGATTTTTGAGTAGTCTTTGGTTCCATCTTCAAACCGTTCTAGAAAACCGTGATCTGTATCCCGAATCCATTATACCATTGTTTCGGATGCGTAATGGGAGTGCTATCCGCTCTTACCCATCTGCAGACGTGTGTATTTCCTGCACCTAGTTTTGAGGCCCTAGCAGCACTTCAGGCTATCGACGAGGAAAAGTTAGCAGCGGTCTTTTTCCACAGTAAAAAAACCTTTAAAATGTTGGTTTTAGATGCACGGCCTTATATGGGACTCCAACGATGTTCATCGACATGCTTAATCATCCTGAATATCATAACTACAATTACGATAGCATAAGATCAGGTGCGTTTCTTTTGTAAAAAGTGTCTTAAATTCTTAGTTCTCGGTCAAGTTTTTCCAGAACATTTCTCTAAAAGCTGGATTTCAGGATTTATTGCTGGAGCTCCTTGTCCAATCACACTCTGCCGTCGTTTGGTCAATGAAATGCATATGACGGATATGCAGGTTAGTATGCTACAAACCCCAAACTATTTGTTAATCGTAATATAGAAGTTTGATAAAATTTGCTTATTAGGTATGCTACGGTACCACCGAAACCTCCCCTGTCTCATTTATGTCCATTCGAGATGATCCGCCCGAACAGCG